TTTATTTCGCAGTGGGAGAAGGAAGAAAGCGAACAGCCGTTCTGCAGTGGTGCTCCATGATGGCAGGCAGACATCTGCAGCTAGGCAGGGAGGAAGGGCACTGAGAGTGGCAGTGGCATCCCCTTCCAAGCACAGTGCAAAGAGACAGCGGGCAAGGTGAGCAAGGCGGCGCTGGAGTGCCTGTTGCTGGGGAGGCACGCTGATCGCTCAGCCAGGGCTGCCTTGGCAGGGGCTACATCAGCCTCTCTGCCTGTGTCATGTCCCACTCTGGCTGGCTGCACGACTATAAGTGTGGTAACCTGGTCTTCACTAAGATGAAGCGCCGTCACCCAAGGAAAGGGAAAGAGCCATGGGCTCCGCCCGGCGAAGGAAAAGTGCTGTGGGCTCCATAGCAGTGCAGCTGGGGCTGGCACTCTCCCTGCAATGGGGGGATTGCCACTCACCCACCTGCCAGCAGCTTCCACATCTCTCGCTCTGCTTCTTTGGTGATGGGAAGTGGTACCACAGCTGAGGGCTAGACTCTGTGGGCCGAGTTTCCAGAATGGCGCCAGTGATCCACTGGGCCGATCTGCAAAGAGAGCAGGCAGGTGGCTGGGTGGGAAGCATGCTGGCCCGTGCTTTTCTGAAGCATCCCTCTCCTCTCTTTGGATCACCCTGCAGTGGGGGCTCTGACTTTGCAGAAACTGGGCAGGCAGTTTGTACGGAGGATTGGCAGGGATGCGCATTATTATTAGCAGTTTACATAATGCAATCCTAAAAATATCAAAGACACTAAAGGTTAAATTAAAAATATTTAATATTTTACATTTATGTCAGATGATACAATAACCTTATAACTTTGATACACGATCTAACATTCAATTGTTAATTGCAACAAAGATTAGTATGATTCATAAACCTTCATGAAAATTTCAGTCATTCAACTTCATAAATATTGGAAGATAAATTATCTAAAGTTCTTTGTCTCAATGAAAGGAAGACATATGCTTTATGTAAGTCTTCACCACAGTTTAGATTATGGGTGTCAAACTTGCGGTGTTACATTGACATTGACATTATGTATTGTGACATTTTCCCTTTGCAGAGCTGTGGTGGGCATGGCCTATGTGTGACGCATCCAACCCGCTGGCCACCAGTTTGCCACTCCTGGTTTAGATCATTTATCCTCATAATTTTGGAAGATTTACAATCTAAGGTTCAACTGTTAATTGCAATAAAGAATAGTAAGTTTCATAAGATTTTGTAAAACATTCGGTCATTCATCTTCATAGATTTTGTAAGGGCAGGTGGCCCTCGCGAGTTCCATTTTCGTTGGCAGTGGGTTGCAGGAGGCCATCACAGGCAAAAAAAGAGCTCAGGATCCCGTTTTCGCTGGCAGAGCACTTGGGCCACCACAGGCACCTCCAACACGAGTGACATTGAGCTGGTCATGCCCCCCTGGCCACGCTTCCCGGCCCAGCAAGGTCAAACTCAACCCTGATGTGGCCCTCAATAAAATTGAGTCTGATACCCCTGATATAAACCATTTTGGTGGACAGCTTGCTCAAACCTTGAACTTTGATTGTGTCAGCTGTAAAAATCAGAAAAATGGTAGCATTTAATTATTGTATTGAATAAATTGCACAGTAGAGATACATGTGAAGCTTCCCACTTCCCTGGCTTTTTAGCTGAAAACCATGATTTTCAGAAATCAATAGCTTTAGAGGGGATCCTTTGGATGTAGTAATTAATCCGTTCCAAAAATTGCTTCATCTCGATCTGGACAATTTTCCAAGCACACAAACTGTACTTCTTCTTTTTCAAGAAGTCCCTGACCTTTTGGAAGTGTCTTTTTACTCTCAGCCTGGGCAGCTGCAATTTCAGATTCCTTGGAGATGTGATGACTTGTTCCATCTTTGCATTCCCACAAGTTTCCAACATCTTAATCTGCAGATCCAGTCCAATGTGGAAATCTCTTAAGGAGTCCCCATGCCAAATCGATTTAGGATGGTTTTGTCTAAAGATAAGGTCTATCTGTTGGAGGATTTCTTCAATAGTTGTTTTTGCAATGCCCACCTGGGATTCATCATTCATATCAATCAATATTTTTTCAATTCCTTCCACTGATAAATCTGTGATGTCACTGTAACATTGTAGAGGAATGGTTGATTTTATATTACTGCTTAGAAGTTTGAAGTTGACCTGGTTGGCTTTTAGTAGTTTCCTCTGAAGTTGGTTACAATTCTCACATGAGATTTCACCAAAGATTATCCCTATGCAAAGATAGAGACAGCAACTGTTCATAATCATGGTGAAGATGAATGAGATAGCAACAGTTGATTAGCTCTTTGAAAAGATTTTCTGAGATCTGTTGCTTCTTTCATTTAGTTGTGGTATTTATATCATTGGGGATGAAACTTCTAACTAACCTAAGATTAACTTCCAATTTTAATAAAAACTCATGTATTAGGTATCTTTCATTAAACTTCTGTTTTTTGACCTCCTAATTTTTGTGGGGCAAACTATCTAAACTTCAACTCTTAATAAGCATGAAGACTAGTATGATACATAAGCCTTTATCAAAACTTAATTCATTTAAGCTCATAACTTTGGAGGACTAACTGTCTAAGCTTTAACAATTAATTGTAACAAAGACTAGTATGTTCCAAGGGCTTTCGTAAAATTTTGAGTCACTAAACCTCAAAAATCTTGGATGACTAAAGAATTAAGTTTCACATTTTCTTGAAATAAAAAATGGAATGTTATAAGCCTTCATCAAAGTTCAGATCATTTTACCTCTTAACTTTGGAAAACTAACTACCTAATCTTCAACTTTTAATTCCAATGAAGACTAGTATATTTCTTAAGCTGTCATTAAAATTTGGATCATTCAAGTTCATAAATTTTGGATAACTATCTAGCTAACTTTCAATTATTAATGGCAATGAAGACTAGTAAGTTAAGCTTTGATGAAAATTTTGGACATTCAAGCTCATAAATTTTTGATGACTAAAATTTTTGGATGACCTAACTTTCAGCTTTTAATTGCAATGAACAATGCAAAATTGTATACACGTTTGTGAAAATTTTGGTCATTTAACCTCATAAATGTTGAATGACTAAAATTTTGGATGACCTAAGTTTCAACGTTAATTGCAATAAACAATACGAAGTTGTATAAGCTTTTATGAAAATTATAGTCATTCAGCCTCATAAATTTTGGATCTCTAAAATTTTGGATGATCTACATTTTAACTGTTAATTGCAATGAAGAGTAACTGTTGTGTAAGCTTTTGTGAAAATTTTAGTCATTCAGCCTCATAAATTTTGGATTACTAACCAGCTAACCAGCTAACTTTCAACTATTAATGGAAATGAAGATTGCTAAGTTAGTAAGCTTTTATGAAAATTTGGGTCATTCAATCTCATAAGTGTTGGATGATTAAAATTTTGGATAACCTAAGTTGTTAAAACTTTGTGTAAGCTTTTATGAAAATTTTGATCATTCAACCTCATAAATTTTGGATGACTAAAGACCTAAGTTTCACATTTTCACAAAATGAAAACTAGAATGTTACCTAAACAAGCATCAAATTTTAGATCATTTCACCTCATAATTTTGGTAGACTATTTAAGCTTCACCTTTTAATTGCCATGAAGAATAGTATGTTTCAAAAGCTGTCATAAAAATGTATTCATTCAATCTCATCAATTTTGGAGGGCAAACTATCTGAAGTTCAACTTGTAATAGAAATGCAGACTAGTATGTTTTGTAAATCTTCACCAAGGTTTAGGTCATTTAACCTCATAACCTTGGAGAGCAAACTACCTAAGCTCCAACTATGAATTGCAACAAAGACTAGTATGTTTCATAAACTTTCATGAAAATTGTGGTCATTCAACCTCATTAATTTTGGATGCCTAAAAACCTAATGCTTGTATTTCAAGGCAATTAAAACTGTACACTACATAAGCTTTCATCAAAGTTTATTTCATTTAATCTCACAACATAGAGTGTATAACATGAAATAATAGGGTTGGGAGGTACCTTGGAGCTCTTCTAGTCCAACCTCCTGTTTATGGCAGGAGATCCTATACTATTCCAGACAAATGGCTGTCCAGTCTCCTCTTGCAGTGATGGAGCACTGACTTCAAGGTTTATTAAGGAAAAAAGAGTTATTTTCTCTTAATTAGGTCTTGGTGAAATAGTTTCCAAAAACAGTTTAGACAGATTAGAATTTTTTATTTGACTGGGAAAGGGAAGAGATAAATAAACTTATAGAGTTTTCACCTTGATTTGCACTTGTGTCAAAGGAAACTGGACAAAAGCAAAAAGCCACACAAATATTAGGGTAATGGTCTCTCGTTGTCCAGTCACTCAACATAGAATTTTGCCAGATGTGGCTTGGCAGTCTCTTATCAAAGAGCAGATAAGATGTTCTTGAGAGCTGGCCTTCAAAAGACAACCTTTACAGTACTCCGGAGAGAAAGCTGAACTCCCACCTTGCCTTGTTCATTATCTTCAGAAGATCGGTCTTCTAAAAACAGATCATGACAAGTAGTAGGTTTTGTCTACATGTTGTTTTTTTTAATGTGAGAGGGCAATGGAAAAAGTAAGAAATCTTCTCCTGGATCTCAAAAAGCTGATTGAAACACAACGGAGGGAAAAAGACCCAGTCCATATACCTCTTCCTGCAAAATATCCTGAAATGGAGTTAAATTAGAAGCGAGGGATTTAAATGTTTATAATAAAGAAAAGGTACTTTTCTTATAATTGATTTTTTCCAAGAAATGCATGCTGTTTTCTAAATAGTAGCCACTTCTCCAATTAGCACTTTTCATCTATATAAGTTTTTAAATATATATATTGAAGCAGAAAACTGAAAGTCAAGGTATCTTCACATTATAAACTGAACAAAAAAGTTGAATACTTCAGTGTATAAATACTGAGACATTATTTAGCATTACAACATATTCCAAAGAACCTTTCCAGGGAATAAACCTTGAAACTCTTATCCAACATGTCTACTATGATTACAAGATATTGGTGTCTGTTCATTTGCCTAGGGATTTTCACTGAAATTTCATCCCAGGACTGTAACCAATTTCGCAGCAGGCTACATGAAGCCAACCTGGGCAACCTGAATCTCCTAACAAGAAATATGGGGTCAACCATTCCCCAACAATGTATCAGGGACATAATAGATTTCTCACTCTATGCCAGTGAAGAAAATGTGATGAACATGGTAAATGAATTACAGGGGGAGAATGCCAAAGTAGCTATCAAAGAACTTCTCCAACAGATAGACCTCATCTTCAAGGAAAGCCAGAGTGAATTGGCTTGGGATGAAAACTCACTAAGAGAATTCCATATTGGACTGGATCAGGAGATAAAGAAAACAGCAGCTTGCTGGAATACCGAGGTGGAACATGGCACCAGATCTCCAAGAGGTCAGAAACTAAAGCTTACCAGGCTGAGAGTGAAAAGATATTTTCAGAGGCTCAGAGACTTCTTGAGAAATAAAGATTACAATCTGTGTGCCTGGAAGATTATCCAGATCCAAATAAGAGAATGTTTTCAGTGGATTAACCAGCTCAATCAAAGGATTCCAAATGAAGGTACTTAGATAATCACTCCAAATTGAATATTTCTACCATACAGTTGAATATTTCTAGCATATAGTGCAGTTCTTTTAATAAACTCAGTAAAAGGCTTTTATTGAAGTCAAAATTTAATGCTACTCCATTTTGCTACATCATATTTTTTTTAAAAAAATAGAGATATATCCAGAATGTTAGTTCTGTAATTTAAAATAGGTTACTAACTGGAATAGAATCTTTTATTTTTGTGAGTGGTATGCATATGTTAAAAATGTTAATTCAAAAACGGAAAATGTTTTATAATTATAATAATTGTAAAACTCAGCAAGGATTTTTAACTATTTCTCTTTTTAGTTCTAGGTTGATGTGCTCTCAGTGATGCAACAAAGCAGGAAAATGAAATCATTCGTCTTTCACTGATGCCCTTGATACGTCTTTAGAATATATAAAATTATTCTTTTTTTGTTTTGTTTTACCCGCTTCCTGAATTCTTTTACTTGAGTAAAATGGAGGTCAAAACAGCAGAATTTCTATAAAATATCCACCTAGCAGATATTGAAACACATTATTTCCATCTTCTGAAACCTTCTGAAGCTTCATTGGACGAATATCCCATGCTTATAAGATTTCCATCATGAAATATGTTTCTTTCCATTTAATTAACTTATGTTTTATGTTGTGAAGATCAGGGCAAGATACTTAAAAGCAATTCATATTGAAACCAGAGTTTAAGACTTTGGGGCTTTAATTCCTCATGCTGGCTGTTGAAGTCCAAAAACCTTAAAGTTGCCACGGATGGACAACCCTGGCTTATAACATTCTCTAAATGCCTCGAGAATTTACTTTCCTTGGCAAGAAATCCCCACCAAACAGATCTTCTGGAAATAAAATTAACACTTGACGAAAAACATTCTAACAGGTTTAGCTAGACATCCAGCTTTCCATGGAAGCATAAGATTTTTTGATATTCAAAGATCAGTGACTGTAATACTTATGAAGTATCACCATGTGTGTATATCTAAAAAGCTCAATATAATGTTGCTGTATTTTTTCCATTGTTTACAACAATCCTCCTAAAACATCGTAAAATATTATGAACATTGTATCACTTGAAATCTTATACGTGTGTGTGTGTATATATATGTATGTATGTATGTATGAATGTATGTATGTATGTTTGTATGTATGTATGAATGTATGTATGAATGTATGTATGTTCTGACCCCCCTCGTTCCACATCAAAGCAAACTCCGAGTCAAAGATAAGTTACGGCATTTAATTAACAGACAGACAGGTCCTTGGCAGCAAACTTGCACAGACAAGCTTGGGCAGCAATAAACACAGATAAGGCTTGGCAGCAATCCAGCATGCCAAGTCCATAACAAAATTCTCCAAAATTAATGCCTGCGTTGACTTCTGCAAGAGGGGTATGTGCACAAGTAGTCTTTTTATAGTCTG